TCTCGGTACCTGTATGTTACAGGCTTTGGTTATGATTCAGGACTAAGAGATTTGGGATTCTTTTACTGCAATAAAACCATAAGACATAGGAGCAGAAGGCAGCCATTCAGCCCACTGAGTCTGCTTCACCAGTCAAAAAGAGCATGGCTGATCTGATAACCCTCAACTCTGCTTTCCTGCCTTTTCCCTACAACCCTTAATTTCCTTTCTGAAATCTGTCTATTTCAGCCTTGTATATACTTAACCCAGCATTGCCAGACCTCTGCAGTGAAGAATTTGACAGATTCACTAACCTCAGAGAAGAAATTCCTCCTCATCTCAGTCAGAAATGGGTGACTCCTTCTGAGTTTATGCCCTCTAGTCCTAGACTCTCCCACAAGGAGGAACTACCTTTCTGCACATACTGTCAAGTCTTTAACGAATAATATCTCTCCTCTGTGCACTGCCCAATATTTATACCTTAACCAATAACAACCATTAAGCGATGGTTATTTTGTTGCAAGTTGCGGGAACGTTCTCCCCGCTTTACAAACAATACTACACTTTACAAGCACACTTAACTGTGAAAGATTCTGGGACATACATATTCGTGGGCAAGTCCTAATCTTGAAAACTAATTTTCTTCGAGAAGGTCAGTGAAAGAACATTTACAGTGACAGAAGCTTGGTGTGAGAATATAACCCAACCTGTTGTCTCCACACAAGCGAGTATGTTTTAAGTATCCTAAATGTCCTTCCTTTTTATAGGGTTGAATGCATTGGAGCAGTCCAGTACTGCCAATCCAAGGTAGAGGCCAGCATGGTCACGGGTTAATAATTTACATCCATTTTCCGAACTGAGTAGGGAGGATGCCAAAGAGTTTCTCTGCTGACCTGCATTTCCTCTTTTCAGTACAATGATATGAGATTCCGTTTTCATGAAGGGCATGTTTCTTCTGCGTCGGCTGACCATGCTCCAGCTCTCAACAAGCTTCACCGCTTGGTTGCCACACGAGTCTGTCGCACAAAGAGACACTTTATTGCGTTTCTTTGACACAGTATCGTCACAGCAGCTTCTGCACGACATTCAAAACGACATCGAGAAAGAACCTAAATAAACAAAAATCGCGTCTCGCTAGGTCGGGTCGATTTTCCTCATAATTGCAACTGAGGCGCTGAGAAGTTAGCCTTCTTGTAATCGAGCAAGGCATACCATGGCAGCAGATCTCCTGGCAGAAATGGAGACAAACAGAATTGGAGCGAATTAGCCTTAAGGGGGATTACTGCATGTCGCAGGGTAAAGAGCTCAAACATCTATAGGCTTGGCCAAGCAGTTAAATCGTATACTGCCTCATTAAACAAATCATTTATCTGAACATATCCACCAATGCCGTCGTGTCGAACTTTATTCTAGAAGGTGATAGGTATAGAGACACTGAAGAAAACAGGCCTAAGTGTACAAGAGGCAAAAAATTTTCACTCGTACATATTAGCGACAGAACACTTTATAAAGTCAACAAATACAGATATTTCTTTTAACTTGTGGACGACGTTAAATTTTAATGATATAGCCACGTGCTAAAAAGGAACAAGAGTCTTTGTTGCGCCAACTGAGGTAGAGGGGCGTTTAAAAAGCAGCTGATTCACAACAACTCATCTAGTCACAACGCTTTGGAGATCTGTTTTAATGAACACGGAGGCTTATGGACCTGTACTCAAGTAAAGACTAGATATGTTCTTTTCTTGACTGGCCTACTTATTCAATCATAAAAAGGGGGGAGGGGTTGAAGAAGCAGCTCATAAACTTTAAAAATCGAGCAGATGTATAAGCCATAAATTAGTTGCACTGTCATCCAAGTCCCTGCTGATTCACAGGGCTGATCAGATCAAACATTCTTCGTTCCAGTCCTATTCCGGCCCCCGCCCACAACTCTTTCCCGATATGTTGATGATATCAGCAGTGCTGCTTCTCTCTCTCATCCGGAATTGGAAAAGCTCATCGATTTTGCTTCCAATTTCCACTCTGCCCGCACTTTCACCTGGTCTATCTGACTCCTCCCTTCCCTTCCCTGACATCTCTGTTTCCATTTCTGGGAAGAGACTGGCTACTAATATCCCCTTTAAACCCACCGACTCCCACAACTACCTGGAATATACATCCTCACACCCCACTTCCTGTAAAGACTCTATCCCATTCTCTCAGTTCCTCCAACTCCGTCGCACATGTTCAGGTGAGGCCAACTGCAACAAGGGAGCCTACAAAATGCCCACCTTCTTCCTTAACCGAGGATTCCCCAGCACCATTGTTGACAGGACCCTCTACCAGATCAGACCCATCCCATGTCTGCCCTCACCCCCTTTCTCTTTTCCCACAACAGCAATAGGGTTCTCCTTGTCCTTACCTACCATCCCACCAACATCCACATCTAGAAGATCATCAGTTGCCATTTCTGCCACCTCCAGCAAGATGCCACCACAAAATACATATTCCCCTCCCCTCCCTTGTCCGCTTTCCACAGGGACCATTCCCTCCGGGACACCCTGATCCACTTTTCCTTCATTACCAACACCCTGCCATACTTCTTTCCCCTGCATCCACTGAACATGTAACACCTGCCCATTTACCTCCTCCCTCCCCAGTATCTCAGGGCCCAAACATACCTTCCAGGTGAAGCAGCACTTTCCACGTCCCACAATCTAGTCTACTACATTCAGTACTCACAAGGTGATCTCTTCATTGGGGAAAACAAAGCATAGACTGGGTGACCGCTTCGCAGAACATCTCATACAATCATAATAGAATCCCTACAGTGTGGAGACAGGTCATTCAGCTCAACGGGTCCACACCAATCCTCCGAAGAGCTTCCCACCCAGACCCATACCCTCACCCTATCCCTGTAACCCTGCATTTCCCATGACTAATTCACCTAGCCTGCACATCCCTGAATACTATGGGCAATTTAGCATGGTCATTCTGCCTAACTTTGGACTGTGGGTGGAAACTGGATCACCTGGTGGAAACCTACGCAGACAAGGGGAGAATGTGCAAACTCCACTCAGACAGTGTTGCCCAAGGGTGGAATTGAAGCCAAGTTCCTGGCACTGAGAGGCAGCAGTGCTAAACAGTGAGCCAGCGTGCTGCCCAAAAAAAGATCCTGAGCTTCCAGTTCCTTGCCACTTTAACACACCACTCTGATCCCTGGCCAACATCTGTCTCAGGCTTGCTGCAGTGTTCCAGCAAAGCTCAGCACAAACTGGAAGAACAACACCTCATTTTCCACTTGGGGACCCTGCTGCCCTCTGGACTCAATACAGAGTTCAGTAATTTTAGGGCCTGAACTTTCCCACGTTCTAGACCCCTACTCCACACACCAGGCCTTGTTATCACAGTCTGCCATTATACAGTATCTATTGTTATTCGCTAACAGTCTCCAATAACAGCTATTCACCCTCCTAGCCTGATCATTATCAATTCCTTTGTTTGTCCAACTGTTCTTCTCTCTCTTTGGGCTCTATCCCCAGGTTTCTGAAGAAGGATCTAGACCCGAAACATCAGCTTTCCTGCTTGGCCTGCTGTGTTCATCCAGCTCTACACCTTGTTATCGCTATCCCCAGATATTGCTTACTCCTTAGCCCCTTCCCTCAACCTAGCTTCTGCATATAAACCAACACTTTCCTCGCTATTGTCAGTTCTGAGGAAAGGTCACTGGACCCAAAATATTAACTCTTTTCTTCATAGATGCTGCCAGATATGCTGAGCTTTTCCAGCAACTTCTACTTTTGTCAATAATTCTAATGCATGCTCTTTTAAAAATGATGGCACTGGAGCTCACCTTAAACTCTGTCAAATCTTATATGAACATCATGTACGCTGGACAAACAACATCTGAACCAAAGCACAAGCTCTAATCAGTGTAGACTGTGATGGAAAAAAACCCCAGATTTTGTGATGAATTCCTATTTGGTACAATAAACTATAAAATGTCCTTAAAATGCTCCAAATGAAAATGCTACTGAAACCAAACTATACAAAACACTCAACTACAATGTAATGAACTTTATAGTAGCGTAATGCAAGTGTTAGGAGTGAGGTCAGTGATAAGACAGTACTGTATCAGAATATTAGAGCATGGATTTGGTCTTGCGATCTGCAAGACAACAGTGCGCAGGTGGTAAAGACAATCCAAGTGCTTTGGCACACGAAAGGGGGATTATCTTGTTTCTCTTTACATTTATGCTTGAAGTGTCACGTTAATATATTGCAATATTTGTTTTGCTTCAATGTTAAACCTATGTAAATCAGTACCCAAGTCTCACCTGGAATTTCACCTGATCTCGGAACAAAGCAGAGAGAGACCGAACAGGGAATTAGATTTTGATACATGCACTGAGGCATTACATCATGGAATGCAAATTCAGTTAAACTCACTTCAAAATATTTGATGGCCAACCAGCACTGCATTTAACTCTATACCTGACAAGAATTTGGAACTGTTCCCTCTTTGATATCCAAACATTAGTATTTTTAAATCAATGGGGAAAGAACATGTGCAGATTAGTTTGACTCAGGCAAGATTCAGATGATGCAAATTAAACAAAGCCTGGTTGAAACCTCACTATATTAGGTGTCATAGGAGACCCATTCCAGAGATTTTAACATACTATCAATAGTCAAGCAGAATATGGAGGAAGTGTCACATACAACAAAAACAAAGTTGCGGTAAAGCTCAGCAGGCCTGGCAGCATCTGTGGAGGAGAAAACAGAGTTAACGTTTCGGGTTCGGTGACCCTTCCTCAGAACTCAAGTGTCATATCGTTTGGAGATGATGTCTTTCACAATAAGATGTTGAGTTGAGGCATTGTCTGATAATTCTCTATGTGTACATCAACAATGCCAGAGGTCCAATCTGTTCTTTTGTCTGGGTATGGATTCATGACGCATAAAAGGACACCCAAAGAGTAAAAAAAACCCATCCTAAAGAAATTACCTTTAGTTTCAACACAATTTAGGAACAAGTTATTTCACTTAAAACTTTCACTTTTATTTAAAATTATGGTCAACTTTCACAAACAGTAGCTTTTACTTCCCAGGCAACAATCATTTATAAAGAGAGAATCTAACCATCTTCCTTTGACATTTATCAGCCACCATTAACAATCAGGGGTTTACCATAAGCAGCCATGGTAATGAGAGGTCAACCCTCAAGTGCTTGAAATCACAATGGAGCTGACAGGGTTCAACCAAAAACAGATGCACCCATAACAGAGACAGGTAAAGTGGGACCTGTCACTTTGATGCTTTAGAAGTTTCTGGTCAGCCATGTTTAATGCAGATTAGTGCCCCTCAAACTATAAACATTTGCCTCCCTCTCTGAAATGTGAGTTATTATTGATTAGAAATGGATTTTATAGACCAGCCATAGAAATACTTTGGCTACAAGAGCAAGACCGGGTATCGTGCATCACATTTCCTGGCTTCAGAGAGGGGGCCAGTCTTCAATCTTGCAAGACAATGATTTGCACAGTGTTAGTCATCTCAGTTAAGTATCACCTGCTGTAGCTCAGGAGCTCACTCTGGTATGACAGAGGAAGACTGAGGAGGAGCTGGATTTGCTGGTTTCAGTTTTTTTTGGGGTCTCTTCACCAGCTAGCCTAGCATTTCCACTCCCATCTTTCAGTCAGACTGAAGGTTTCCAGGGAGTCATCTTCCAGACGTCAGTGTCAATATCTACTGTCTTATGATGTCGCTTACTGATGTTCATGCAGCAGAGGACCCATGCCGAGAAAACTGTGATCCTGTGATCCAGTGACCAATTCACAATACAGAAAGTCTGAGCATACAGCAATCATTCATGTATTGAATATGGCTGAGCCAGTGCAGACATTGTTAGCTTACCAATGAATGCACGCTGATGGAATTAGCACAATCCAGGACCTTGGAGTTCGTAATCTTGTCTTGTCAATAGGACAAATCTGGAACAACAAAGGTGGATACTGTTTAGACTTTCCTCCAGCCTAGCACATGTTGTCTAGATCTCACAAATGTAGAGGAATTTGCTGAAGATGTAGGTTCAGCAGAGTTGCAGTTTTGTGTTTTCAGTCAGGTTGCTGTTTTCCACATGTTGTTACTCATCTTTGACATGACAGCTGGAACTTTTCTGACGTGTTGATCAATATCAACATCAGGTGACAGATTGCAGGTTATTGTGGAGCTTAGAGGTGAAATTATCAACATCCTCCAGTGTCATATGTCAATGCTGATAAATGGGAGGACGGCAGAATTTGTCAGCATGGATTAATGAAAGCTAAATCATGCTTGACAAATCTACTGGAATTCTTCAAGGATCTAGATAGTGGAGTTGATAAGGCAGAACCAGTGGATGTGGTTGACTTAAGACTTTCAGAAGGCTTCTGATACATTCCCACAAATCAGACTAGCATGGGATTGGCAGGTATTGTATTGAAATGGATAAAGAATTAGTTGGAGGGCAGGAAACAGTGTGGGAATAAATGGGTCTTTTTCCATGTGTCAGGCAGTGACTAGTGAAGTACTGCTGGAATCAGTGCTAGGACCACAATTATTCAGAATATATGTTCATGATTTGGAAAAGGGAACTATGTGTAATATCTCCATGTTTGCAGATGACACAAAAGCTAAGTGAGACGGTAAGCTGTGAGGAGGAAGCAGAGACACTTCAATGTGATTTGGGCAAGTTGAGTGAGTGGTAAATGCATGGTAGTTGGAGTATAACGTGGATAAATAAGACTTAGGTCCATGAAATGAGACTTATCCACTTAGGTAGTAAAAATAGGAAGTGGATGATTTATGAATGGCAGTGATTGGGAAAGGGTGAGGTGCACAAGATCTGAGTGCTCTTCTACACCTGTCACTGAAATTAAGAATGCAGTGCAACAGGTGGTGAAGGCAGCAAAAGGATTCACATACAGGAGTAGAGATGTCTTACTTTAAGGCCTTGGTGAGATCACATCTGGAGTACTGTGAGCAGCTTTGGTCTCCTTATCTGACGAAGGATGAAAAGAATGGCTATGGAAGGAACGCAACACAGGTTTACCAGTTTGATTCGTGGGATAGCAGGACTGACATATGAGGAGAAACTGGATTGGTTGGGGCTATATTCACTGCAGTTTAGAATAATGAGGGGGGAGATCTCAGAGACCTAAAAAATTTCAACAGGACTAGACAATGTAAGTGCAAGAAGGATATTCCCAATGACTGAGGAATCCAGAATCACTGGTCACAGTTTAAGAACTGAGATGAAGGGAAATTTCTTGCAGAGTGGTGAGCATGTGGATTTTTCTGCCACAGAAAGTGGTTGACACTAAAGCGCTGAATGTTTTCAACAAGGAGTTGGATGTAGTTCTTCGGGCTAAAGGGATGTAAAGGTATGGGGAGAAAGCAAGAACAGAATTTGGTAGGAAGCTGTCAGAGCGCAGAGCGGCAGCACAGAGTAAGCATAAACCTACCGGAGTTTGGGGATCGTTGCCAAGTCGGCGGGAAGCTGTTGGACAGTGGAGCAGCAGCACAGTGAGTATAAATCTACTGGAGCTCCGGGATCGCAGCCTAGTCGGCTGGAAGCTGTTGGATGGCGGAGGAGCAGCACAGAGTGAGTACAAACCTACTGGAGCTTATGGCACAGTGTAGCTGTGATAAAAAAAACTAGAATGATGTCACAGAGAGGCTGTGACCTGATTGGCTGGTAGGAAATCTGCACTAAATTTGAAAAAGAATGCAAAGAAGTATCAATAAATTTAATTAACTCAATAAAGTAATTAGCTAAATAGAAATGGCTGGACAGTTGATGTATTGTAGATGTATGACGTGGGAGCTGGTTGATCCCATTGTGAACAGCGATGACCACATCTGCAGCAAGTGTTAGTTGCTCGAGGAACTTCAGCTCAGAGTTGATGAGGTGGAATCTGAGCTTCAAACACTGTGGCACATCCGGACGGGGGAGAAGTACCTGGATGCTGTGTTTCAGGAGGCAGTCAGACCTGGTAGATTAAGTATTTCAAATTTGGCTAATGGCTAAAATAGCAGGGGGTGACTGCAAGCAAGGCAGGTAGAGGGATCCTGCAGTCAGGAACAAAGGAGACTAAGGTCTTGACCTTGTCCAGCAGGTACGAGGTATTTGCTTCCTGTGTGGATGAGGAAAAGGGCTGCAGGGAGGATGATCCAACTGACTACTGGACCGTGATATGGGAGGTCATTCAAGAAGGGGGAGTAAAAGGACAAGTAGTAGTTGTAGGGGATTCTATAATCAGGGGAATAGATAGTGGAATGTCTACAAGATGGCTTTTTGGAGCAGCTTCTGGTGGAGCTCACCAGGGAACAGGAAATACTGTATTTAGTGTTGTGCAGTGAGGCAGACTTGATAAGGGAGCTTAAGGTGAAGGAACCCTTAGGGGGCAGTGATCATAATATGATTGAATTTATTCTGCAATTCGAGATAGAAAAGATAGAATCAGAGGCAATGGTATCACAGCTGAATAAAGGCAACTACAGAGGCATGAGGGAGGAACTGGGCAGAATTGACTGGGAGAGGAGCCTAGCAGGAAAGACAGTGGAATAGCAATGGCAGGAGTTTATGGGAGTAATTCAGGAGACAAAAATTTATCCCTAGGAAAATGAAGCATGGTACAGGGAGGATGAGGCAACCATGGTTGACTAGGAAAGTCAAGGATAGCATAAAAGTAAAAGAGAAAGCATATAATGTGGCGAAAGGCAGTGGGAAACCAGAGAATTGGGAAGCTTATAAAGACCAACAGAGGGCAACAAAAAAAGAAATAAGGAGGGAGAAGATTAAATATGAGGGTAAGCTAGCCAGTAATATAAAGGAGGACTGTAAGAGTTTTTTTAGATATATAAAGGGCAAAAGAGAGGCAAAAGTGAACATTGGACCACTGGAAAATGACGTTGGAGAGATAGTCGGGGGGAACAAGGAAATGGCTGAGGAACTGAATAATTACTTTGCGTCAGTCTTCACAGTGGAAGACACGAGTAATACGCCATAAATTCAAGAGAGTCAGGAGGCAGAGCTGAGTATGGTGGCCATCACCAAGGAGAAGGTGCTAGAAAAACTGAATGGCCTGAAGGTGGATAAATCACCTGGGCCACTTCACCCCATTTCTGAAGAAGGGTCCCAACCCGAAACGTCAACTTTCCTGCTCCTCTGATGCTGCCTGGTCTGCTGTGCTCCTCCAGCTCCACGCTGTGTTAACTCTGACTCCAGCATCGGCAGTTCTTACTATCTCTGATAAAGTTCTTAAGGAGATAGCTGAAGAGATAGTGGAGGCATTAGTGGTGATCTTTCAGGAATTGCGAGAGGGAGGGAGGGTCCCAGAGGACTGGAAAATCGCTAACATGACACCCCTGTTTAAAAAGGGAGTAAGGCAAAAGACAAAATTAGAGGTCACCCGCGGTCGTGGGTAAGATTTTGAAGTCCGTTGTGAAGGATGAGATTTCTGAATACTTGGAAGTGCCCTAAAATAGGGCAAAGTCAGCATGGCTTCAACAACGGGAGGTCACGGCTGACAAATCTGTTAGAATTCTTTGAGGAAGTAACAAGCAGGTTAGACCAAGAAGATGCAATGGATGTTATCTATCTGGACCTTGTCTGGAGAAAAGTCTTCAGCCAGAGAGTGGTGAATCTATGGAATTCACTGCCACAGAAGGCTGTGGAGGCCAGGTCATTGAGTATATTTAAGACAGAGGTATATAGGTTCTTGATTGTCAAGGGGTCAAGGATTATGGGGAGAAAGTGGGAGAATGGGGTTGAGAAACCCTGCATCAACAGTGCACCACTGTTGCAATGTGGATAATTCGAAAGATACAATGGAGCAGCACACCAAGGTTATATCAACAGTCAGCTGAAAGGCAGGTGTTTGGGAACACCTATACCTGCATGTCGACTTCTAAGTGCACACCAACCTCACTTGGAAAGATCTTGCCATTTCTTTGCTTTTGTTGGGTCAAATTCTTGGAACTCCCCTTCACACCACAAGGACTGCGACAGTTCAATCAAGCTGTTTTAATATCATCTTAAGTGTACTAAGTCAATAAATGTAGACTTTGCCAGCAATGCCCACAAACAATGAACAAATTAAGAGGTATCACTGAAAAATAAAATCATGTGACTTAATATCACATCTACTTCAATTACTGGCAACAAAGACTTCTGAACAAAGTAAGAAAAATAAACTTGCACCAGCAATCAATATTATTTCAGTGCCATCGCAGATTAAATCTCTTTACCAGTGTCATTCCATAGTTAACTAACTGAGCTTGCAATAAACTTATGCGTTGTCCTGTAGATCGTACAAGCAAAGAGCTGATCTTCTCAAAAGACTTTCTGTTTTACTAAATAAAACTGGCAAATCAATCAAATGTATTTTGAAGGAATGAATTTGACTAATTACTAAATAGTCATGAGCTGTGGCGAAAAAAAAAAAATCAACAGAATATTCAAGATTCATAATCTTATTTATTATTTAGGACTAAAAAGTGCCAAGCAGATGCCATTGCAGTTGTTGATGGGGGACATCTGCCTGCTATTTTGTACAAAAGCTATGTTGTTCTTCAGAATCGGAATTCTATCTTCAGAGAACGTAAGACAACAATTCTGCCTATTTCCATGATATGCATCAAATAACTGAATCATTTTGAGTACAAACAGGAATGAAATGATTGTCAAAAAGAGATTTATGTTTGAGTGCTTTTATGATTAGAAAGAAATTTCATGCTCTTGCTTTCTTACAAAATTACCTGTGGCTGTTAAAATCTTTCACATGATCGTTGCAGAGAGTGTGTATCAGTGGAAACTATAAAGTTTTGTGGAAGGAGCAATTCAAATGGCTGACGAGCCAGTTCTTATTATCTCCCATATTTATGCTCTTAGATATTTCTGATACACTTATGAGGTCAATTGGAGCTGTTGAAAGATGCAGGCTGCTAACTGCTCCACCATCCATCCAACAAAAATGACAGACAATGCAAATCTCCTGCTGCTATTCAACACTACTGTAAAACAAAAACCATAAGAAGACATTTTCACATTTTGAAGACTGAAATTCATATGTTCAGGAATGTATGGTACTTGTCTATTACACAGTTAAGCTTTTTATAAAACACTTAAACTTGAACTAAAATAAACAGTATTTTGAATTGCTTGTAAAGGTCCTGTGCCCTTACTAATTGGCAATCTGGTATCTAGAAATTATAGGCTCAAAACATTAACAGTGCAGAAAAGAAAAGAAATTAAAAGATAATGCACTGTTACTGTGGGAATGGATGAAAATATTTAAAAAAAGGCAGTTGGCAGGAGGAACACTGAAACAAAGGTCTTGCATTTGTATTGCACCTTTTTCAACCTCACAATGTTCCACAGCCAGACGCTAAGCTGACCTGCACGAAGAAAACAATGAATAAAAAAATAGTGCAAAGCAGCCACACAAAATTCAGATTCAGATGCAGGAATAAACAAAATGAAAAATTGAGCATTGAGTTTCACAGGGAAGCATTTCTATTAGAGCAGCAAATTTTGCCAATTGGTCTGTGAACATTTAAACACTGACATCACATGGTTAATGTGACAGATCAGAGTTCAGCTTGTTTAATGTCACAAAAATGTCTGAATTTTTTTTGGCACTGCAGACATTGCCGTCGTGCCAGTGTGTGACCACTGTAAACCAATTTCTGCTTTTTGGCAGAAGTTCTCCCAAAATCTCACGATACATTTAAGGATATACTAAGTTGGGGGGGCGGGGGTGGGGTGCAGACTGACAAAATAAAAGTGGCAAGGAAAGTTAGTGCACTTAATGCTGTATATACATTTCGTCAACTGTGAAATATGTAGTAAATTGCTATGTAGTTGTTTTTTCAAAAATGCCAGTACAAAAAGGATCATTTACAAATTGGATTTTTTCATCCTATGAAGTGTTGCACATTATATCACTGCAGACACAAAAATGTACTAACAGAATCAATGAAACTTGATACATAGGAAGAACCAGGGTGGTTACACACCAAAAATGCTGGAATATGACTGCACACCTTGTTCCAGTCACTGATGTGGCTAATGCCTCTTCCCTAGGCTTTGCTACTGGATAACTGGTGTGCTTGCCTTTTAGACAGTATTTCCTCTTAATACACAAATTGGAGTCATATGATAAATACAGGGCACCAATTTATAATTCAAACATAATTATTTCACTCCTGTTTCAAGTCAATTCATTCCAAAGCTCAAAAGTGAATTTTTCCGCTTACAATGTTGGTTGACATTTGAAAACTTATGATACAAAATATTTTTGAAGTAAACTCTCATCCAAGCTCCATGTCTTTGGCGAACAAGCAGCTGCAGAACACGTTTGCTCACCACAGAAAAATCTGATGCTTGGAAAATGAAAGGTAGAATCTAGCCTACATTGACAAACCCAGAAGCTGAAAAACTAGACAGCAGTGAATGTTAGAAATCTGAACTCTTCATAGAAAGAGTGGCATCAATCGTGAATTTCCATCCACAATTTTTTCCTTTTAAAAATCTGGAGCTTTACCATTTAGCTTTTAATGAAAATTTATCAGATGGCTTTTCCTCAAAACCAGCAAAGCTAATTCACAGTAAAAAATCTACTGCCATCACAATTTTCCATTAGCAATAAACATGATTTTAGTTGAGAAATCAAGTTTACTACATTGCAAATCTTTTTGAAGAGTTGATAGGACAGGTGGATGCTGACATATAATATTGCATTCATATCAATTGCTAATTTTCATTGGAAATGTTAAAATACAATAACCTGCAAATGGATTTTTCAAGTTTGACAAGACAATTGAAAATTGTATATATGGAAACAATTTTACATTGCAAACTCACTGGATTTCAGAGAATGAAGTGGACTACGTTCATCATATTACTTCGAATTCTGTTAAATAAGTAATCTGATATAACGAACTCATTACCTCTGACGGCTTGTGCATTTGACGCAAGCACAAAGAACTTGATGAGGCCAATGTATAGTGGTGAATAGTCATGTTCCCAGATCACAGCTGGAATCACAAGGAGTTTCCCATAGCCAGACAGTAATAAAGCTATTAGCAATGTGTTGCAGTTTGATTTCTTCTGGATGAAATCTTTGTTTGTTAACCACAAAATGAAAAATGTCCCACTGAGGAATGCTGCTAGTTCTAGACATCGAAAAAGGACACATATTAATCTAATTATCATATGGTACTGTTGCAAGTGATACTTTAAATAAAAAAAATCTATACATTGCTTTTAATATTGTAAAACATCTCAGGCTGCTTCACAGGAGCATTTGCGAGTGAAGTTCAACACAATGCTTCACAAGGAAGTATTGTGTCAAGGAGTCAAATGCTTGGTCAAAGAGGTAGTTTTTAAAGAAGGTCTTAGATGGCAGAGAGGTAGAGAGTCTGAAAGGTTAAAGAGGGGGAATTCCAGAGATTAAGGCCTTAGCAACCAACACTTCAAGCAGCTGCCTGTGTGGGAGCAATTAAAATCGGTGATATGCAAGATGCCACAAATAGTGCGAGGCAGAGATCTCAGAAGGGTGTACCTCTGGAGGAGGTTGCTGGGATAGGGAGGGATAGACCATGAAGGAATCTGAAAACAAAGCTGAGCATTTGAAAATCAAGTCATTGATGAACTGGGGTCAATATAGATTAGTGAGCGAGGGGTGAGGGGCGAAAAGGATTTGGTGCATTAAGATAGGAGCAGGAGAATATTGGATGATCTCAAGTTTGTGGAATCACAGAACTGTTACAGTGCAGAAGGAGGTCAGAGAGCTCATTGTGTCTGTGCCATCTCTCCAAATCATCAGATCACTGACTGCCATTCTTCTGCCTTCCCTCATAACCATGCACATTGTTCCTTTTCCAATAATCATTTAGCATCCTTCTGAATACCTTGATTTAACCTGTCCTCACCACAAACCCAGGTGGTGCATTCCAGATCCTAACCACTCACTGTGTGGGGGAAAAAAAACCTTTCCTCATATCAGGTTTTGAACAGAAAGTCATATGCAAATTTGCTAATGACACAAAGTTAGGCAGCATTATAGACACTGTAGGTGATAACATTAAATTGCAAAGATATATTGATAGACTAAGTGAATGGGCAGAACAGTGGCAGATGGAGTTCAATGTAAGTAAGTATAAGGTTATCCATTTTAGACCGAAAAAAGATAGATCAGGGTACTTTCTGAACAGTATGAAGCTAAAAATGGTGCATGTCCAAAGAGACATGGCATTCAGGTGCATAGATCTTTAAAACGCCACAGACAGGGGCAGAAAATAATCAAGTAAGCTAATGAAATGATGGCCTTTATATCTGGAGGATGAGAGTACAAAGATGCAAAAGTTAGGCTGCAGTTATACAAAATCCTGGTTGGACCTCATTTGAAGCATGGTGAGCAGATCTGGACACCACACATTAGGAAAGATATATTGGCCTTGGAGGGAGTGCAACATAGGTTAACAAGAATGATAGCTGGCCTTCAGGGATTAAGTTACAAAGACAGATTACACAAATTAGGCCTTTTTTCCCTAGCATTTAGAAGGTTAGGGGGTGATCTGATCGAAGTCTTCAAAATATTAATAGTCCTGAATTTGAAAGGGACCAATATCCTAACAATGGGATTTGTCCCATTTTATATTCAGTTAACTAAAATCCCTCATTATAATTAACCTCCTAATCCTTTCCTCTAATTGGTAGCCTATTGACTACACTAAACAATGTAATTAAGCTTTTTTGATCCTTAACTCTCCCATTATCCTGTGCATCTTGATAACCCTCTCTAATATATTCCTCTGGTTACCACACCCCTGCCAAGTTAGTTTAAATCCTGCTGAATATCACGAACAGCTCCACACAGGTAATATTTAATTTGAAATCTTTATTGTGAAAAGCAACTAGGTTGCACATTTTCTTCTCTAGTTCGCATGCTTTGTTCAGATTACATTAACAGGTAGGTGATTCCTGCTTGGAGTGTGGGCATCACTAGTACTTGTTGTCCATTCTATTACCCTTGAACCGATTGACCGATTCTGAGGCTACTTACGAAACAACCACAATGATGTGGGTCAAGAGTAACATGTAATCCAGACTGGGTAAGGATGGCCAGGTTCCTTCTCTAAAGCACATTAGTGAACCAGATTAGTTTTTACAACAAATCAGCAGAAGTAACATGATTGCCATTAGACCAGCATTTAATTCCAGAATTTTTTCTTTATTGAATTCAAATTTCACCAAAATAGTGATTGGAGCTCATGTTCATACCTGGGCTCTGGATTACTAATCCAGTGACATTACCACTACACCACTTACCCAAACTAGCTAATCCAAACATTTGGTAGAAATCCCACTCTTTGGCATAACGAATTATATCTGTCGGATCAACAGCTTGCTGTGAATCCTGTAGCTGTGACCATCGAAGATATGCTTCGCACAACAAGCAGAATATGCACAGCTTCCAATGAATCTGAAGAAAAAGGTAACAAGAAACATCACTGGATTAACCATCCTGATATTCCAAGAGGTGATTGGTCTCTCATGGGATTATACAAGTAATTGAAGCCTAAGATGGATGCTGGAGAGCACATTGTGTATTTTAGCCATTGGCTCAATACAGTATCAATACCTTCAGGAAGAAAGAAAACAAGACCGCAGAAGGAAATAAACCAGCATGTTAACAAGTGTGACCAGAAAGCTTTTATCACCACAAGTTCCATTTTATGAAAAATGTATTAGTCACAAAATGTATAATATTTGTGTTGTTTTTAGTGTAATTACCAAGCAATTCATCATGAACTAATAACGTAATTTTAAAAGTACTTACATTAATTTTAGTATTGAGGATGATATGCCTATAAGCTTGCACTTTGCACAAGATTGCATCAATGAGTATGATCACTGGGTCATATTCAATGTACTTGTCAACCGGTTTCTGGCATGATTTCTGAAAGTAAAATCAAAATATTTTTTGGTACATGGTCATTAATTACTGTAATTATATTGTTAATATTTATTGATTTGTAGAAGAAATACATCATAAGCCTTACAATGACCAGAGAGCCATATTGTTATTGTGCATTTATGCAAAAAAAACTTGGGTTCAATGAAATAAGAATGTAAGAAATAGGAGTAGTATATAATTACTAAAGTTAGAAGATGTAATGTTGTACAATAAGTTGTTCACTTATTTCAGACAAAAAAAACTGAATATGAACTATTATGTAGCACAGGCCAACATTTAAATTACATTTTCCATTCTGCCATTTGGGAGTTAGCAGTCCATCTGTTTATTAATTCATTCCTGGCTATGGGACTAAGGGAATGCTGCACTTTTGGAGATGTTCCTGAAGAAGACCTTGAGGCAAGGCTCCAAATGGTTTGTCCATGACATAGAGCAGGGCGTTCTCTGAGCAGCGTGGTTAAGATCTACATCATCAAAACAAGTTCACTGAGCAGTTGTCTCATTACTATTTGTGAGAAGTTACTGTGTACAAATTGGTTGCCAAATTTCCTCCACCTTATTACTGTTCAAAGTAAAGGGACAACCTGGCTGTGAAGTATATTGGAGTACTTTTGCATCTGTGAAAGGTGCTGAGAAAATGCAATATCTTTCTTTTGTAAACATTTGAATACTCACCTCTTTCCTGGACTGGTACAGGTGCAAAAACAGTCAAAATTATGAAGGCTCTGTTTTACCAGCGAGGAAGAAGTTGTTCCTACTGGTGATTGATCAAGAACAAGGAGCAATTGATTTAAGATTATTTGTAAAAGAAGCAACGTGACAAGAGGAAAATTATTTCGTGCAGCAATTAGTTATAGGCAGCTCACCAGCACCTTCATAAGGGCAGCCAGTGTGGGCAATTAATCACAGCCTACCTAGTAACACTCAAATCCCATGAATGAATTTTTAAAAAAAATCTCAAATTCACTTGCCAAGAGTGGGATGGAAGCAAGTTCAATTGAAGCAATCAACAAGGAATTGAATTATCGGAAGGGATTAATTATACAGAATGCAATAGGGCTTGTGTGCATGTGCAGTTGCAGCCAAAGATGTCATCAGGTCTTTACAGGGAGCATTTCAGGCAGCAACTGCACATGCATCTATTATGTTGATGCACACTATGCACAATGATGACATTATCCGTGGTACGTTGCTGATGAGGGTTTGGGAAAGTTGGTGGTGGAAGCTTGGCGCCAGCTGGAGCAAAACAAGGAGTGTCTGCCCTCCAGCTGCTGCGCTGTCTGCTCCAAGGGAACTGCTAAAAGCCATGTAAGAGAAGGATTTTGGAATCTTTGTCCAGTTTAATCACTTGAAAGAATAGATGCAGAAAGGTTGTTTCTCTTTGTGGGACAGTCTAAGAATAAGTGGCTGCACATATAAGAAAGAGATGAGAAAGAATTTCTTCTCACATAACGTAATGAGCCTGTGGAATTCTTTACTGAGGAGGGTTGTTAAGGCTGGGTCATTAAATATACTCAAGTCTGAGAGAGATAATTTTTAATCAGTATGGGAATCAAGTATAGGGAAAAGGCAGGAAAGTGGAGTTGAGGATTATCAAGTCAGCCATAATTTCAATGAATGGCAGACTTGATGGTCTGAACAGCCTACTTCTGTTCCTACGTCTTATGCAGACTGAGCCAGGGCTGTTGCTGCTGTGCCTGTTTGCCACTATCTTCCCCTACCTCCTTCAATAGAATAGTAATTTATTGTTACATATTTTTACAAAAAGTACAGTGAAATGTATTTAAGTTGCCACACTCCGGCACCTATATTAAGAACAAAAGTCATACCAAAAAAAAAATTAAGACAAAATCCATCTTTGTTCATTTCACAGCTCAGGGGTTCCCAAGGTCAAGGAAAGACAGGAACCATTCTCCATCACAGCAGAAAGTTGATATTGAAGCTGCCAAATCTCAGGCTGGACCATCATGCTGTCAAAGACTCCACAAACACTGCTTCAAGGACCCACTGCACCTTGCTGATGAAGCAGACCACCATGCTGGGTATTGGGATTCTGGGACAGAAGATGCTGCAAAGGCCTTCTCATCCAGACCATTGGAATTCCGGGTTGAACCCACTGCATAGCTGAAGATGCCGCCAACCTGGGCCATTGGAATCCTGTGTCAGACCCACCACTCCACTGAAGATGCCGAAGCAGACCACTTTCGCCACTGCAGCAGCCTCCCGAAACATCCTTTATGGCGTGTAATCTGCCAACAGCTTCTTAGGATGCTTCTCTCATAGGACCCGAGTTAACAGGCACCATTTTTAAAGAAGCAGGTCGACAGTTTGGCACATGCGCAATGATCTTCAAGATGATTATCTGCATTGAGACACTTCCATTAGTGCCATTTAGTTCCAACACTTCGGTGATGTTAGATCTCAGCAGTGCATATATGCCCTCTTTGTGCCACCTGGTGATGCCATTCAAAATAAACACAGCCTGATAAGGCCATAAGAAACAGGAACGGGCATAGGCCATTCAGCCCCTCAAGCCTGCCCCTTCAGTAGTACCACAGATGATTTGCCATTCCTCATATCCACTTTCCTGTCCTTTGCCTGTAAGCCTCAATTCCATCAAGAACGAATCTAAGCCTCAAATACATTGACCCCATTCATTTCTGTGGCTAGGATTTCCGAAGACTCTCAAAGCTCTGAGAAAAAAATTCCATCTCGTTTCAGTCCTAATTTAGCACTCCTGATACTGAGACTGTGCCCTCTGGTCCTAGACTGTCCCATGAGGAGAAACATCCTCTTAGCATTTACCCCATCAAGATCCCAAAGAATCCTACATTTTTCAGTGAAGTCACCTCTCATTCTTTTAAACTCCAGTCAGTAGAGTCCAAACCTGTTTAACCTCCACTCACAAGACAATCCCTCCATATCAGGGATCATCCTAGTGAACCTCTTCTGAGCTGCCTACAATGAAATAATATCTTTTTTTTAAATGAAGGAACTAAAACTTCTCTCAGCACCCCAGCTGTGGTCTCACCATCTTGAATAATTGCAGTTAGACTTCCCTACTCTTACAGTCCAACCCCCTTCAAATAAGAGCCAACATTCTATTTGCCTTCCTGATTACTTGCTGCACCTGTATCCCTCTTGCAATCTGCCTTTTCCCCTATTTTGTATCATCTGAAAATTTGGCTACAGTACATTTACTTCCTGCCTGAGGTATTATTATGTATCGCAAACAGTTGCAGTCCCAGCAATGATTACTGTGGAACCACACTGGCTGCAGGTAACCAAACCAAAATAGAATCCCACTCTCTGTGTACTGCCATGAGCTAATTCTTCATCCATGCCAATATACTACCTCCAATACCATGGGCTCTCATCTTATGACTTACCCTTTTGTGTTTTGTCAAATGCCTGTCCAAATACAATTTTTTTTTTAATCTGAAAAGGAACAATGTAGAGTCATAGTCATTGGATCATACAGCATGGAAACAGACCCTTTGGTCCAACTCATCCATACTGACCAGATATCCTAAATTAATCTTGTCCCATTTGCACTTGCAAATCCCTCTAAACACTTTCTATTCATATACCCATCCAGATGCCTTTTAAATGTTGTAATTGTACCAACCTCCGACACTTCCCCTGGCAGCTCATTCCATAAGTGCAATGAAGAATCAGTGAGCAAAATGTTAGGACTCCCCAAACTTCTTTTTCTACACTGGCCCCATTTTGAGGCTTTCACATTATCACAAGGAAGATGGGATTAGAAAGGGCAACTGGGTATCTTTGGGTTGGCATGGACAAGATGGGCCCAATGGCTCCCTTCTGCATCATTTCTATGGTTCCAACTCGTTTCAGTCCTAATTTAGCACTCCTGATACTGAGACTGTGCCCTCTGGTCCTAGACTGTCCCATGAGGAGAAACATCCTCTTAGCATTTACCCCATCAAGATCCCAAAGAATCCTATATTTTTCAGTGAAGTCACCTCTCATTCTTTTAAACTCCAGTCAGTAGAGTCCAAACCTATTTAACTTCCACTCACAAGACAATCCCTCCATATCGGGGATCTGAGTGAGAACTGTGAGGAGCTGGTGGAAGAGACCTACTAGTGCAAGGTGCTCTGTGTACCGACATTAGTGCACAACGCAGAATTGTTATAAATTATCAGAGTTCCACTTGGGGGTCTCACCCTGTGGGAAGACCCTATGCGGCGGAAATGGAATCCTTCAGCACACATGATGGGCTGAACAGCTTGTTTTAAACAGTAGCAATTCTACCTGATTCTAGAGACTTGTTTTTTTTTGAAGCTGGCTAAGAGATTGCACTTACACAGATGGTTATCTTGATGACGCCGTGGCTATAGTCCCTGTGAAGTTCTTGCGCCTCCTCATTGCACTCCACGCACCGATAGCACACCGCCATTCTGGCCAACAGCCGCTCACTTTTTAAAAACTCGAGCGCGAGGCCCACACCCCCTCCTCACACACACCCCAGCTCCTCGCCGTTGCCAGGTTACCAGCCCATGCGTCGGAATCGTGACCGTCCAGCGGGGTGAAAGCGTCGGAAGACGTCACCCGACCCCTGCCGGGAGATGTAGTCCTTCCTTCCAATGAACAAACCGGTGTCCAAGCTGGTAGAACTACATCTTCCAGAGGGCACCGCCGTGGCACATCCCACCCCAACCTCATCGTGCGTTTCCCAAAGAAGCAGACCCGCAGAAAAAAATGGCACCTGCCAGTCAGTCAGTCGCGGTGGCCGTCGTTGTTGCTCAACTGTTATTGTTTTCCCAATGCCGCTCGGCCTGGGCCGAGTACTTTTCTTCGCTATTGTCCTTTAATAGCAATAACCATCTGCAGAAGCAAGGCTGTGTTATGCAGTCTGAATTTGGAAAATCTGAAGACTTCGTGGAGTGCGGTGAGAGATTGACTTTTTATTTTTCTTGCCACGTCCTTTTTTTTGTACGGTATACAGTGCAAGTTTTTTCTGACTTCCGCATCCGCGGTCAGGACAGGTAGCTGCTAAGTCTCTCTGGTGATTGGATCCATGTAGGGTTGTATTTATGGAGTTATATTTTTAAAAATATGTAATTGCGGCACATTCCGAACACTGATTATTATAAAAGCTGTTTATAGATTGCTCTTTTGACAATAACGAATGGTTCAATTTTAATGATGGTTCAAGATGTATTTTTATCTGTTCTTTGTGCACTACTTATTTCCTCATACATCGCAAGAACAACAGTTTAAGCCTTTAATGTAGTAAATATGACATCAAAGGTCTTCACACGAGGAATGGGGTAACCATGAAAAAGTTACTGGAGGTGACCAGAAGCTTAAACTAATAAATTTTGTGAAGGATTTTGAAGGTGAGGAAGGAAACAGGAAGCTTCAGGCATTTACAGAATGAGTTGCAGTGAGGCCAGCTATGGTGATTTAAAAAAAAATCAAGAACTCGCCATCAGAAAAGTTCGTCATGACCTTAAGATCCTTGATAACATTTTGGCATCTGCTGTCAGGATATTGCAGGGTTTGAACAATGATTGTATTGATTTTGGAGACTTTGACCTGAAATGTGTACACTTGGAATGCCAGGAAGAATACTTATACTTTGTTCTAGATAGTAAATTTGGCTCCAATGCCCTAGAAGAAGATTGACATTATTGCTGTACCCCTGTACTGGAAATTTAACTGTGTGTAAACGTCAGTAATGTGGGAAGAGCAGCAGTGTTTGTCAATTTTGTTTACTACCTCTACAGTGAATGATTGATGTTGACTGATAAGTCTGTCACCTGTTTGGTATCTATATTCTAGAAGCACCACACTCACATCAAATTGTTCATAAACCATTGTCATTTGTTTCCATTTCAGTAATGTACTATCACTTTCAAATTACATTATTGTTCTGAAAGTGATACAATGACCTATTTATGTAACTTTTCAAGTTTCTCTGCCTTTTGTAGTCTCTTACTGTCATGGGATACTTTATCTGGTATGCAGATTTGTGCCACTATTTCTCCATGTATGAGTCTATTTCCAGGTCAGTTGTGCAAGCTCACAGGACAGCCATCAGAGATGAGAAACCAGTTTTTTTCCCCTCTCTAATCTAAGCAGTTGAGTTGCACTCTTTGCCACCTTGGTTGAGTGTGTTTCCTGGAGCATTCTGCATCAACACAAAAAAGAAAGACTTGAATTTACACTTGTACGTATTGCAATCTAAGGATATTCCAGAGCACTCTAAAACAATGAATACATTTCACAAGTTAATGTTGGAACTGTAGCAGTTGAATTAAACATAACTAGGCCCGTAAACAGCAATGTGACAATGAACTGATGATCTGTTTTACTGAAATTGATTGAGGGATAAATATTGACCATGTTGTGGGAGAGAGAATGTCTCTTCTATTTTTCAAATAGTGTCATCGGATGTTTAATGTATATCGAGCACAGCAGAACAACTGTGTAATGTCTCATTTGAAATGTACCTAGTAACATACTAGAATATGAGGGGGAGACTTTTTTTTACACCTTTGATTTTACTTTCTAAATTAGCTGAAAGGAGACGTGAGGAAAGGAACGCAAACATAACAAAGAATTGCTTTCCGTCTAACTCCCCATGATAAGTGCTTGTCTCCTCATCAGTATTACCCGCAGCAACGTCAAACTTTATGCCGTGATGATTTGGGAATATACTGTGCATTTTGGCAGGTGAAATGCCAGGAAATGGTTGGTGTTGATTCTCATGCTATCCGATCTGTTTCTCATAGTGTTTAATTCAGCACCATTCACTAGTTGTATTGATTGAGATTTCTGTCCAAACTGGTTACCCATAGCTTTATCTAGAGGTCCTGGTAGGTACCAACTGTATCTTGGGCATATCCTTTTTGACCAAACTGAAAAGAAGTCATTAAGTGTCCCAATGTGGGTTAAATTTGCTCTATGTAAATGAAAGATTTACTTCCTCCACTGTCAGTATCAAGTCGTGAAACACATTTGTGGCAAAAAGGCAGGAATGGGCATTTGATTGCCATTTAATGTTTAAATCCACATTTGCCATTGCCGAATTACCAGTGGCTATCTTGTTTGAGGGTAGTTGTAGTGGTAGATAGATAAGTGATCTCATAGGAGTTAATGCAGTTTTCATTTCATTTGCTTGATGCTGGAAGTTTGTAACTCAACAAACCCTTTATAGATTCAGTTATGCATTAGCTGAGCTGGACAAGATTATTGTTATCTGGGAAGTGGTTGTAGCAGCAATGCCTGCTTAAACATCGGGGGAACCTGGAGTATACTAGTCGTTGAATTTCTCTTGTCTTGGCCCAGGTAACCGTGTTATTTAGTGATCCAGTTGTGGTCTTGACTGAATAAGGGAAGTTGATCAAATGTTCAGTGATAGTATATTGCCTGAATTCAGTTAGTTTATCTTCGGAATCACTGCACAAGTGTATCAGCTCTATGAATGTATAATCAAGAAACATGAGTAAGCCATTCAGCCATTTGAGCTTGCACTGCTATGCCATAAGATAACGGCTGATCTGATTTTAACCTCAACTTTACATTCCTACATACTCTTAAATCTTTCACTTGCATGGTGGTCAGTAATTTATCTACCACAGTCTTAATACTTAAAGGTTCTGCATCCATTGCCTTTTGGGGCAGGGAATTGCAAGGACTGTCAATGCTCTGGGAGAAAATGTTTTTCTCATCTCTGTCCTAAATGGACAAACCCTAATTTTTAAAATATGACCCCGAGTTTTAGTTTCTCCCACAGCTTTTCCACATTCATCCTGTTCTGTCACCTCAGAGTCACCTCTGATTCCTATAAACTCCAGAGGATACAGGCCAAGGCTGTCTAAAATTACTCAAAAGGCAATCTGCACATTTCATGTATTAGTCAAGTAAATCTTCAGTGAAGTGCTTCCAGTAAATTCCTTTTGTAAGTACAGTGACCAGTTCTGTACTTACATCCTGTGCAAATGAAGCATGAATACTAAAGAATACAGGGAGGAATTAAGTACCACCACCATCACTAAAGAAGTAGGATTAGATGAACTAATGGGGCTAATGGCAGATAAATCCCCTAACCCTGATGACATGCACTCTAGAGTCTTAAAAGAAGTAGCTACAGAGATAGTGGATGCATTGGTTGTAATTTTACAAAAATTGCTGGGTTCTGGAGAAGTACCAGAGGATTGGAAAATTTCTAATGTGACAGCCTTTCTCAGAAAGGGAGAGAGGCAAAAAGCGAGTGATGATAGGCCAGTTGGCCTAACATCTATTATTGGAAAAGTATTGGAATCCATTATTAAGGAAGTAATAGCAGGACATATAGAAAATCACAATCTAATCAAGCAGAATCAGCATGGCTTCATGAAAGGGAAATCGTGCCCGACTAATTTATTAGAGTTTTTCAGGAAGTCTCAACCAGTGTGGATAGAGGGGAGCCAGTAGTTGTGTTGAACTTCCAGAAGGCGTTTAAAAAAGTACCTCACAAAAGATTAAGTTACAAGAAAAGAGCTACAGTGGTGAAGTAGTGTATTGGCATGGATAGAGAATTGGCTCACGGGAAGAGAACAGCAAGTGGGGATAACGGGTTCTTTTTCAGATTGACAACCTACGACCAGTGGGGTTCCACAAAATTCAGTGGTGGGGCTGCAACTGTTTTTAATACATATTAATGACTTGGAGGGAGGATGTGAATGTATGATAGCCAAATTTACAGATGACACTAAAATAGATAGTAAGGCAGATTGTGAGTAGGATGCATATAGTTTACAGAAATAATGTTAGTTTAAGTAAATGGGCAAAAAGTTGGCAAATGGAGTTTAATATGGGAAAATGTCAAATTATTCATTTTGGAAGGGAGAGCAAAAGAACAGAATATTATTTAAATGGAGAAAAATTGCAACACAAAGGGACTTGGGAGTACTTGTGCATGAAACATGGAAGGCTAGCACACAGGTGTAGTGGGTAATCAGGAATGCTAATGGAATGTTGGCTCTTATTTCAAAGGAGTTGGAGCATAAGAGTAGGGAAGTCTTACTGCAGCTGTACGAGGTGCTGGTGAGACCACATTTGCAGTACTGAGAGCAGTTTTGGTCCCTTTATTTAAGAAAAGATATTGTTTCATTGGCAGTTCAGAAAACGTTCATGAAGATGATCCCCAATATGACAGATTGTCTTATGAGCAAAGGCTAAACAGTTTGGGACTCTACTTAGTGGAGTTGAGAAGAATGAGAGGTGATCTCATTGACACACAGATTTCTTAAGGGTCTTGACAGGCTAAATGCTGAGAGCGTGTTTCACATCATGGGAAAGCCTTGGACTAGAGGGCATATTCTCAGAATAAAGGGGAGCCAATTCAAGACTCGGATGAGGAGGAATTTCTTCTCTCAGAGGGTTGAGAATCTTTGGAACTCCTTGCTACTGAGAGCTGTGGGGCAGAGTTCTTTTGCATATTTAAGGTTGAGATAATGAAATTCTTGAATCAAGGGGAGTCAAGGGTTATGGGAAAGGGCAGGAAAGTGGACTCGAGGAATGGCAGATTAGCCATGATTGTATTGAATAATGGAGCAGGCTCGAGGTGCCAAATGACCTACACCTGTTCCTATTTCTTATTGTCTTATAACCTCCATACTCTTGCATTCAATCCTGTTGCAGTAAAACAGAACATTCTATTAGCTTTCCTAATTACTCACTGTGTCTGCATACTAACCTTCTGCAATTCATATGCAAGGACATCCAAATCGCTCTGCATCTCAGAGCCCTGCAAGCTCTCACTATTTAGATAATATGCTTTTTATTCTGTCTGCCAAAATGGACAATTTTACATATTCTCACATTATACTCCATTTACCTTATCTTTGTCCGCTCGGTTAACCTGTCTATATCCCTTTTGTCCTCTTCACAACTCACAGG